TTAATTGTCCGTCCCCGCCAACTGTAGTTCCGATCTCTGAGTCTGCTATCCTCGATTCCCGCCGATCGTAATCGCTGTCTTTCTTTCTCTCTACCTGCTTCGTCTCTGTCTCCACTATTGCTTCGACTCCGTCCACCTCTCTTACTGTCTAGCGCACTTATATACGATAATACTGCCTGTTCTAGAAACTTCTAAGACTCTCAACACGTGTTACCAGCGTCAGCTGATGCAACACTGTCGCAACATACTAGCGAATCTTCTAGATTATTCGTCGCGTGATCCCGCTGTCATAACACACTAGCGAATCTTCTAGAATACTCGTCACGTGACCCCCATTGTCTTAACAATAAATTTGAACTAGCTTCAAGGAAAGAAGAAATATGTTAAGGTCTAATACATAAAACCTTCTATTGGCTTCACAGTGCTATATGCCAGAAATATTAAAGTTACCAAAAATCTTACATCTCACTCAACATCGCATTTACCTGTTCTCTTCCTCCAACTCGTGAATCATTGTTTCCAATTCTTCTCGATGATCAGCATCTATGGCTGCCATAATCTGAGCTGGACTTCGTGGCTGTAACAACAAATACATACCATGTGCAAGGCTTTGATAAAAGATTCATCACAATATATTTTGACTAAATTCATTATTTAAGCAAAATACAGTTTTTCTAACATTTACGTTTTCACTGTAATCTAAAGACTTTATCATACTTCTAGAAATTAACAAGTATAACTGAGTCTTTAGTTCTTGAGTTCTATAAGGTGCCTTAATTACTAACTACCTGTGTTGCATTCTCTATAACAACACATGGAAACTCTATTTTAGTCTTTTAAGTTACATTTTCATTCTTTTGCAAACCTCCTGCAAAAACATTTAGTTATGAAAAGAACATGCAAAGAAAATTACAAGCATAACTCTAGAAAAATTTTATAAGCATTTATTTTTTTGACATTTTGCTTATACAGATATCTATTTTAAGAGCTCTCACAGTGCAATGTGCTTCTGAAAAGTCTTTTGGGTGAGATGAAAATTTAATGAAATTTTGGTTAATATATCCGATGTCTTAGTTTTTCTTTTTAAATGCAGAATAATATGAAACATAATACAGATGTCAATTTTTGACCATATGCAGTTTAGGTCTAGAGCAAATGTTGTAAAGTTTAACTGAATATTTTCTTAGTTAATTTCTTTTTATCTATCACAACTTTTGAAACTTGAGATGTGTAGTTATATAGTCTCCTAGCACAATTAATGTTGAATTTTCAATGAAAAAAGTCACTACACCAAACACCCTTAATTCAAAACATTATTACCTAGGCTGGATATGCAGCAGCCATATTAGACCAGCTAAGTCAAAAATGAAAGTAATATATTCACATTCAAACATGATATTTCACCCATATAATGTTTTAGAAGTTATGAACATAGCCAATTGAACGTTACATATTTAAAACAAATGTGTAATGTTTCAAATAAATGCAGCCACAAACTGAACTAACCTTTAATTTTGTTTTAAACAGATGATGAAACAAGCTATGTCAAAATACAGTGATTTCAAGAGACAAATGTCAAAAACAGCTATAATAATTCATCAAGGCAATTAATTTGTGTGGTTTGTGTTGAATTTCATGCAAAGCTACACGAGGGCCATCTGCACTAGCCATCCCTAACT